CTTTTAAAATACACATACGATATTATATATATATCAAAACATGGGCATTTTTGTAATTTACATTTTAAAATGGCCGCCATGTGGCAGTCCCCTTCAAAGTTTCTCCAGGAACTTTCTAGTTTAATTCTAATCTAATGATCAAACAGTTCAAAACTCAAATCCTAAATGAGCTTCAGTCAGCTTCAGTGATTTGCCTGTGAGTTGTGAACTAGATTGGATTAGGCAGTGAGTGTTGGCTTGTGGCTACAATCTTGGCTTACCTTGTTTTCTGTGCACACCATCTGTAACGTAGCATTTACACCGGACTTAACACGCGTATCTGCACATTTTACTCCACAAATCTGGGATTGTTGGACTTCTAGATCTCAAAAGGCTCTTCCATGAATGTTGCCATTGTTGACTCGTTCTCAGTCACTTTGGCTGTTTTCATTGGTAAACAAACAGACGTGGTGTTCGGCAGTCATTCACAAATTTTGCTTTAAACTTGCATATTAACATGAGGAAAATAATGTGTGTATTTTTGTTTTTTTTATTTATGCATTGCAATGAGTACTTTCAAATAAACCAATTCAATGACGTGAGGCGAATTTGCTCTTGTCAAAAACAACCTGCATTGCTTTAAGCATAATGACTTTAAATAGATTTAACCATCTATATATTTATACATATGTGTAAAAATGCAAATGAAGTGGATTTTTCTGTATTTCTTGCATTCATCTGTTCTGTCAGTTGTCTATATTAAGCTGTCGGCATGCGCTGCTAGTAGGAACAGAGCCCCCCAGGGACCCTTGGTCGTGGTCACATCTGCTGAGCTTGCTCTAACCATTCACAGCTGATCACCAGACAAAACAATCCTCTCTAACTGCCAAGCTGTGGTATTCTTTTTGTAGGCTTATTGGTATTTTATAATAAAGTGATGAATTAGAGCCTTTAAAATAAATTCAGACAATAAGTTCCTCTAAGTTTATTTACAAAGTCGTAATACCTTCACATTTAGGGGACAAGTTTTGCCCCGTTAAAAGCTTTGCGTTAGACGAGAACAACAGTTGTAAGGAGTATTCATCATTTTTTATTAACACTAAGTTATGTATATTGGGCATCACTTTGAGTTTGTTTTGTCTTGTTTCTGGTAGACGCTGTAAAAGTAAGAGAAATCCACAGAAAGTGATCTAATAGTGATGTGAGGATGTGGGTGAGTGGTGCACCGACACGTTTCAGATGTTAAAATTAGCAGGAAAACGTAAACCCCCGTTTCTCACATTGAACTCCATCTTCTATGAGAGTTAAGTCTGTGGCATAGTTTCTTATAAAACAAGAGCTTGACTCTCGAAGCCATGGAACATTTATAAATATTTGAGAAAGAGTGCAAAACTGGGTCTAGTATTTTTATTAGTCTGCTTCCACGTTAGTTTGGATGATCCTGCACAAACCATCAAACATGGGAAAAAATGTCAACTTTGTCTTATTTTGTGCACGTTATACAATTTATTTCTTCTCCTTTTATTAATTCATCTGACATGAAGCATTAGACCAGAAGAGCTGACATGGGAAAATCAAAATTTGGAGTGCGTTGTCAATTTTGCAATTATTATGATAAAAGCAGCGTTTATTGAAGAAAAGGCATATTTTCCAGTATTTACCAAAGGTTCGGCTCGATTTGTTAGCCCCTGCAATATTAGTTGGTCAGTCTCAGCTACTACCACACCAGACTTTAGCTCAATATCTATAAAAATCCCTGCATTATAACATTTGTGTTCACTAAGATAAATAAGCGACGGCAGCTTTTTTTTATACTTGATTGACTTCATCTGCTAAATTGCAGGTGTACGTTTACACTGATTACTTTCTGGGGGGTATTATTAATGTCTGCTCAGTGATTCATGAGATATTTTGCTAACAAACCGATACAAAGGGTCAGACGATGACATGATTGCCCACCTTTCGGCTGATACAGAGCTAAATAAGTCATTTAATTTTCTTTTAGTCAACAAAGTGGCTTGCAAGTGATAATTACTGTATGCTTCAACAAAAGGTCTAATAATTCCTGTAGGGCCTTTTTCTGTAGCTGACCCAGTACTTTTCTGACAACTGTTTTTGCTCAGGTAGAAAGGAGCCCTAGTTTTTTGTAAATGCAACCATCCACTTGCAGTTTGCATGTTTGAACACACCAACGTTCCATCCCTTTCATTGCTAAAAGGTTGGTGTGCACATACACGTGTTTGCCATGAAAACGAGGGCATCGTTAATTATAAATATACAGTATTATATGGACATGAATATGAGGGCAGCAGGGAAGAAATGATACAGTGGTAAACTATATACCATTCCTTCCTTTTTGTCCTCAACCACCTGCTAAACAACATGCTTTCCCCGCCGGTCCTCGTGCCACAGTGACCCCAGCACTCGCTGAGTCCGTGCAGCTCACTGAGCAGACCGACACACGAACACACACTGCATCATCACTGGCTTTGTACGTACAGAACACGTGTTTCTGATTATTAAGATTAAAATTCATTGTGGTAGTAGCTGAGAGTCATCCTCAACACATACTCCAAGTGCTACCAGATCTTCCTAGATAACATTTACAATAGTTGATCAAATCGACTAACTCCTTCTTCTTCTTCTTCTTTCGGATTTTCCCTCTTCAGGGTCTCCACAGGGAGTCGTCCTCCTCCATCTCACTCTGTCCTCTGCATCCTCTGTCCTCACTCCATCTACCTCCATGTCCTCTCTAACTGCATCCAGATATCTCCTCTTTGTCTTTTTCCAGGCAGCTGCATTTCTAACATCCTTCTACCAGTATACCCACTGTCCCTCCTCTGGACATGTCCAAACCATCTCAGTGTGTCCTCTCTAACTTTATCTCCCAGTTGTTCAACCTGTGCTGTACCTCTGATGATCTCATTCCTAATCGTCTCCATCCTTGTCTCTCCTCAGAAGAACCTCAACATCTTCATCTCTGGTTTAACTCCGTCTCATCTAATTATAAGAAAATCGTCGTAGTTTGAAACTTTGGCCTGAAAAACAAGAGCCAATATGCCTTCCTTTAACAAATGCTTAAGGGGGCAGCTGTAGCTGAGTGGCTAGAGAAGTCGTCCTCCAATGCAAGAGTTGGGGGTTCGATTCCACCAACAGTCACATGTTGAAGTTAGGGGTTGAACAACTGCATATTTTGAAAAGTCAACTTCAACATGATAAAAGTCGACGTCGACTAGTCGATGTGACGTCACAAGAACTCAAAATGCTATTCACAAAACAAAAAAAAAACAACACAATTTATTATTTACAAAAAAATATAGTGGGGGCGTATATTTATGCTCCGACCATTTATGGTGCTGCAAATAAGTTACAGGAAAACCAAAACTATTATTAATCTGCAAAAGTTAGTTTTATTTAATTTAATCCACTTAACAAAATAAACCACCGTGGTGGTGCGCCCCCCGTTTTTATTTTTATTTTATTTAAAAACGGTTTCAAACACAAAAACACATGAGTGATGTTTGTTTGAGCTGAGGTGAACGGTTTCTGAGGTGGTGTTCCCCTACACTTACACGGCCTCCCCACCGTTGTGGTTGACAAACAAGCTTTTATGCACATTGTCTTGCTTTAAATATCACTGGTTTTGCTTCAGGAACTCATTTGCCACCCTCTGTTTACTTGTATACAGGTGGGCTGCCAAGAAACATTCTTGATTTGTGATACTTGTACAAATATTTGAATGTTAGACCATCATGGCCTCTAATGGTTGTGAGTGAAATAACTAGTGTGACCAATGAGCTCTGCCCTTCAGCTGTATTTTCCAACTTTAGCTTCAGTATTGTCAGTTCAACTTTTATTTCCAGTTTGGTTTGATTTTATATACTGGCAAATTCTAAAATAGTGGCTTTAACACTGGAACTCTGTACCAGTTAAGGTTAACTTGATTCCATAATAGAGAAATTGAGCAATTCCCCTCTGACTTGGTGACAATAGGGGTAGAAACTCACATTCAACAGGAAAACCTATTGGGAAAAAAACCTATCAGTAGTTGATTCAGATTGTTGTTTAAGTGCATTTATAAATTTGACCTTTTTCTTGTGTTTTCTTTCAGGTTTGGAGTGATTAAAGGAATACTTACCGTCTCCGAAGCTACCGGCAAGCTCTGCAGAAAAGTCTTTTACAAGTCACAGTGGTGCACAGGGATTTTCAAGTCAAGTTTAATTAAAAGAAGAAGAAGAAAAACTTTCTCAAAATGCAAAGAAGCCTAACAGCTGTTAAACCCTGGTAGTATAAAAAAGACTTTTGTTCATTCGTTAAGGACTTTTTCATTTTCACTGATGGCTCTATTATTTGGACGCGGGTCAAACTAAAGAGCTGCAGCTGAGAACTTGTCGCCCTGAATCAATGACTTTGTCTGGAGCTGTCAAACTTTCTGCCATAAAGACTTGCTCTTACATTATCGGGGCAACACAGGAGGACATTTTTCTTTAACCAGTCTGTTCTCGTTTCAAATCCAGTTCCATCTTTTTTTTTTTTTTTTGATGGATAAGCTAATGGATACCGTCCTCAGGCGAGTTTTTTTCTCCCCACTGTTTATCTGATTAAAGCCAAAGTTTATCAAAAGTAACTCACTAGAATGAAGTGCCAATAAAGACAAGAGGATTGAAGAGGCGGGAGTAGAAGAAACTGAAGCGCAGATGGGATTCCTCCTCGAAAACAGATGGATGAATTAAATATTTGAACAGAAAGGAAGTCGTGACATCTGGCACAGAAGTGAGGGATTTTCCTTCCCCTTCTTTCTCTCTTCTTATTCCGCTCACTCCTGCCACTGCTCACCTCCGTCCTCTCCACGTTCGGTTCCCTCGGCGGGCGCGGGAGTTCAGCCGGTCACTCAAACCGACAGAAACAAGCGTGTGCTCCAGCTTGTTCCTCTTTTTCTGCTTTGTTCCGTTTCGCCGTGACCCCGCTCCCGTGCTCTCTCGGCGTGTGATGGTGCGTTCCCTCCTCTCGGCCCTGGAGACATGCCTGTACAGGAGATGGCGGTGAGTCCTGTCAAGTCCCTGCACTGGGAGCAGCTCCCCCCCATGTCGCAGCGCCGCGTCTACTGCACACCCGTCTATCACGAGGGCTTGATCTATGTGCTGGGGGGCTGCAGTGAGACCGGCATGCCTCTGGACAGCGTGGAAGTCTTGGACGTGGAGAGCCAGACGTGGAGCCAGCTGCCGCCTTTGCCCACTGCCCGGGCAGGGGCTTCAGCGGTGGCGCTGGGAGGCCAGGTGATGGTGCTTGGGGGCATGAATCAGCAGCAGACACCCCTGGCCTCTGTGGAAATGTACCACCCCGACGAAGGCAAATGGGAGACGAAAGGCAGTTTAGGGCAGCCGTCCATGGGAGTGACCACAGTGGAGAAAGGTAAGAGAGCAGGATTAGTGTGAAAAACGTCTTTGCAATGTTGTCGCATGCCGCTGCACTTTTGTAAGAAGTTGGTTGTTTTGCTCCTTTGATTTATTTTCAGTAAACTTTGAACAACGCACCCGCATACCTCAAAGGGATTTGTCCAGTCATGGCGTTGGAGTTGCAGCCCCGTGCTGTGGGTCTGTCATGCATTTCTGTCATGTTTCTGGGCTCTCGTGTTCATGGCTGTGACGTTAGCTGGCAGTTTTTATTTCAGCCTTTTGATCTTGACTTGGATTTAACCTGACAGTGTGAGTGAAGTGTGTGTTTGTTCAAGCGTTTAAATTGATTTATGTGGCAAACTCATGCTGAATCACTTCATCTTGCTAATGCCTCCTTCTGGACCACCCCTACTCCATTTCTCTTTCTATCCACACCGTAGCTTGAACCCTGCTCCAATGCTGCGAGCCTTGCTGCCCTTCCACTTACTCTTGAACATATAAAACAGCAACCTTCCTTCTCTGCATCATGCTAGCTAGATCTCCAGAATGTATTTCAGTTAATGTCTTTGGTGAACAGTTAAATATCCAGATCTACCTGAATGGTTGATGGACATTCTTTCATATCTTTCTATTCTGGAAATCATCTGACATGTCACGGGAGGCTGTGGCTGAGTGGTTAGAGCAGTTGTCCTCTGATGCAAGAGTTGGGGGTTCAATTCCACTAGCAGTCACATGCTGACATGTCCCTGGGCAAGACACTGAACCCCTCATTGCCTCTGATGTGTGTCCCATCAGTGTATGAATGTGATCTAAAAGCACTGATTAGTGTTTGTAGCCATCTAGTAGAGTGCTGTATGAATGGGTGAAGATTGTGTTGTAAAGCACTTTGAGTATCTTGATAAGTACAGTCCATTCACCGTTTACCATTTTACTGGTATATGAGCTTTGTGATGGTGAGATTTGTCCAAAATAAGAGCTTATGGTGGTAAAGTCATCACAGTTTGTATGATGTGACCCCCGTTGAAGCCGTATCACTCTGGAGTCAAACTATCAGAGGATTCTGTATCAGACAGATGTCAAATCCTTTGCTTTTGTCGGTTTCGCTTTTCTTCTTTGCATTTTTCTCTCTTTTGTTTTCAATTTGTCTGCGTTTAACTGTGCATACAATCCCTCATTAAATAAGAAACTTCCTGTCGGCTCATTAAGAACTAATGAGGAGAATCCAGCTGTTCTGCTATATTTATAACACTGAAAACCACCGCCAGTGGAGACGAACCCAAAACCTCTGTGGCGCTCAAATTAACTAAATTAGTTGTTAAATTTGAAAGAAGGCCCAGCAGGCCTTTCAGGTGCTGAAGTGTCTGCAGAGTTTGAGTTGTGATTAAAGCTCATTGGGGCTGATGCTCAGTCAGGACGAAGTTCTGATTATACATTAGACATGTACTGTATATGCTCCTGTTGACGAAGATATCAGTTTGTTGTGAAGCTTTGGGAGAATCTTTCATATAAAGCTCAATTGTCGTGCGGTTGGTCTCAGCTGAATGAATAAACTGGGATTTATTGCTCATTCTCACCCGAGTGTGTCTCCACAAGGACACGCTGCAAGTGAAGACATGTCAAATGCTCCAGTTCAAGGGATGGATTTTAATAAATCCTGAAAACTTTTATTGATCTTCTTACAAAATCTTCAAACTCTACTCCTCGAATTATTTTCAGTCATTTAGCGGTTTGTGTTATTAGATCATTAAGCAGAGGGAGAATCAAAAGGTTGATTTTTTTTTATCTCAGATGTTTCTCGTGTTTACATCCCAGCAGCCAGCTGAAAACTCAAAGTATATTTCTGCTTTCATGAAGTCATAAAGGAAACAGAGTGGAACGCTAATCACTTTGACCCATGAATTAATAAACGAATATCAAACCTCTTATATGGAAGCGAGAGGATTAGGCTTAGTAAATTAAATGCGAAGTTTGTAAACAGATTTTATTTTTTTTCCAACCTTCCTCTAAAATAATAAAATCCAGCAGTAAAAGGTAATAAAGCTTATAACCTTGTAAGAGGTCAAGACTTTAGGAAGAGTGACAGTAAACAAATAAACGTGTCTCCTTTTATGAAGCAAAAACAAAACGCTAAATCAAATATATGTAACGTAAATGCATTTAACCCAACGTTGGTGACAGCTTTCAGTTGTCTGGGTGGAGTTTCAAGTTCAAGAATCTTTATTATCCATCCATCCATCCATCCATCCATCCATCCATCCATCCATCCATCCATCCTCTTTACCTGCTTCTTCCTTTTTGGGTCACAGGGGTCACTGATGCTCATATCCAGGTGTCACTGTGCAAAAAGTGGGACACACCGTGGACAGGTCTCCAGTCCATCACAGGGACACACGGAGACTGAGACAAACAACCATTCACTCTCTCACTCACACCTAGGGACAATTTAGAGTTACCAATCAGCCTAACATGCATGTTTTTGGTCTGTGGGAGGAAACTGGAGTACCTGGAGAAAACCCACGCATGTACAGAGAGAACATGCAAACTCCACCCAGAAAGGTCCCCAGACTGGGATTTGAGCAGGAGGAACCTGCTCGCTGAGAGGCAGCCGCTCTACCAACTGCACCACCGTGCTGCCATCTTTATTATCCCCGAGGGACAATTTGTTTCACCGTCATTAGACACACAAAACGTCCAATGTCCAGCGTCCACAAGACATTGAGACATTAAAATAACAGAAATCCTCACTGTTCATTGAGAAGCTTGATCTCTACAGGGATGAATGAGTTGTTCAGTCTGTTCTACATCTGGGCTGCAGATACCTGCGTCCAGATGGAAGCAACCTGAACTCACCATGATGATCAGGATCTGCCAGAATCAGCCTGGTCTTGTTCACCGACCTCACCTTCTGTAGGTTTGTTCTCCGCATCATCCGGTTTCCCTCACACAGACCAAAAACATGCACGTTGTGTGTGCAGTTTTGTACAGAAAGTACAAAACCTATATTTTACAGAAAATATATAGAACATTTCAAATATAAAACCTGATAACTGAGTTGTTTTTCCTTAAAAAGAACTGCTAGACGGTATCTACCACCGTGTTGCTCGACTTCTTTCAACATCACTCTGTCAGCACTTGGCAAACGAGACTGAAAAAATAAATGTTTTCTGGTTTTGGCTCGGTGTCGAGTTTCAGGAGGTGATTACCTCTCAGATATGGACTGCAGACATTTCAGGATTTACTCGTTTTGATAAAATCGTGCTGTTAAAATATGTGCAGAAAGTGGTTTGGCATTGCCATAATGTTTATTTTCTGGCATTTACTCATTGTTCTGGTTACTTATTTATTTTGTTGTGTTTTTTGCATTTGTAGTGTTTTTTTAATTTGTAGTTGTGTTTTTTTAATTTCTAGTTGTATTTTTTGAATTTCTAGTTGTATTTTTTGATTTGTAGTTATTTATTTTGTTGGGTTTTTTGCATTTGTTGTTGTTTCTTGCATTTGCAGTGTTTTTTTTTATTTGTTGTTGTGTCTTTTGTTTTGTAGTTATGGTTTAAACTTAAGGGCCACTGTAGTTTTGTCTTCTGCAGTGAAGTAAATTGTGTATTTTTGTTATTTTTCCTTCCCTTGAGCTTTCTTCTTCTGCCTTTTCATCCTTCAGTTATTCCTGAAAATCCACAGCTGTATGTCAGAATCCCCGTCCTCCTCCTCCTCTCTGTATTTTGCCTCTTTTCCCCTCCAACCCTTTTACTTTAGTCGTTCACTTCTCCGCAGTCAGCCTCTACATCATCCAGTCCTTATCCTAATTCCTGCAGGAGCATGACTCAAAAGTATCCGGCTGCTGCTGCAGCGATGAGTATAATCTCTCTTCCTTCTCAGTTCATGATTAATGAATGCTGCCCTCTCCTCCGTCAGTCTGCTGGCCCATGGACTGAAAGGCAGCAGCACCGCAGCGCTGGCAGGTTCCTCAGAGGTATAAAGGCGGGTTTTCTACACGGCAGAAGATAAAAGGTTGCTGTCGTGGTGTCGATGTTGGAGGAGAGTGTTCTTTCAGGAAAAGAGGTGCGGCATCATTTAAAATATCTCAAGATGGACTATTTTCTCCTCTTGAGAGAATTATTGGCAGCAACACTGCAGGTTCTTTTCAAGTTTACCACATTAATATATTCAGAGGTTGACTTGTTGGGTTTGTTTGTTCAAAATTTAACAACTTTAACTTTCTCAAACGGTTTTCTTGAACAACCTGTGCTGATGTGCTTGCTGCTCTGCTGGAGCTTTACGGATCCACAAGAGTGTCTTTCATTCTTTTTAAAGTTGGGGCAGTGGGGGGATGTTTATGATGTGTTAAAGGGATAGTCTGGTCATTTCTCAAGTCCTGTCTAATAGTTATTGATACCTTATCAGCTGTGACTCAAAGAGCTCAGAGTGATGAAAAGGGCTTTCTGTAGTCTAACCTAACTGCTTGGGTTCTCAGCTGTTTCTTTAAATATAAAATCATCCTAGTATTGAAGCTTAAGTTAATAAGAAACACACTTCGTTATTTAAGAGCGAGAGCACATCTGTATGCAGAGGATGAATGAACCAGATTTGGTCTAATCAGAGCTGGAGAACCAGAGAAAGATGTTGAACACGATATGCAATTAAGTTGGACAACTTTTTATTTGAAGTGGCAGTACACTTCAAACACAAACTAGAGACACTGACTTTTCGTTGTAAATCCAACGTGAATGCAGAGCGCTCAATGAATTCATTGGAACTTGCTGAAGAAGCTGAAACCGGGTTTCTAAAAGAATAGTAGCTAAAAATAAACAAAACTGACATTTTTAATTCATCTCACATGGGTCTGTATACATTTGTATATTAAATGTTCAGTTGCTGCATTTTCCTAGAGAACGTCATTATCTGCAGAAATGTCTCACAAATAAATATTGTTGAATCACAACAGCAGCCCTCACCCCTCTGTGTCACCCCGTCTAGTCAGCGTTTATTTCAGCTTCTTGAAGTTGTCAACCTGAATGAACC